AAGTAAAGTACTTCTACTATCATGAAAAACTAACAAGCCCTGCCATAAACAAACTTTAAAAGAGAGTGTGAATCACACAGACAGAATGGTTGGACAAAGTCACTCCTTTGTTTGAGATGTTGCTTCTGAACAGCTCTCCTTATGTTAAAGACCCCGTTAGGGGCTGGCGGCATAGCTCATGCTAGAGCCCTGGCATACCTGGGTGAGGCCCTGCGTTCATCCCCAGTGCAACAAAAACAAATCAAAACCAAGTACCAAGTGTTACAAAAATTTAGTATTAAATCGACAGACTCTCCTTCACTGTTCCTCAAGATTAAAAGAGAAGGAAGAGGCAGTAACCAGGGCAGCCCGACTGGCATAAAGACAGACAGATCAGAGGGAGCGAGAGTCTAGAAGTAAATCCTTGCATGAATGGTCAGTTCACTTTCACAAGGGGCCAAGGCCGTCAGCTAGAATGACCTTTTCACAAAGGGTGCTGGGGTAACTTGAAATCCACATGCCAAAGGATGAAGTCAGACCCCTTCCTCCCACCCTGTGTGCGAAAGAAATGAACACAAAATGGATCATAGTAAATCTTTGTGACCTTGGAGAGAGCAGTGGTTTGACACCACTGTGTATGATGCCAAGTATGCAAGCAGCAAGAGAGAGAAAGAAACTGAGTTTCATCAAAATCTAAACATTTTGTGTTAAAAACAGTGCTGTCAAGAAATTGAAAAGATGATACAGGGGCTGGGGATTTAGCTCAGTGGCACAACGCCTGCCTGGCAAACGCAAGGTCATGAGTTCAATTCCTGGTACCAGAAAAAAAACAAAACAAAACAAAATTATATAAGTGGTGGCACATGCCTGTAATCCCAGCACTTGGAAGGCTGAGGCAGGAGGATCACCATGAGATCAAGGCCAGCTTGGACTACATAGCCAGACCTTATCTCAGAAAAAAAAGTAGGAGAGAGAGAGAGAGAAAAAAAAAAAAAAAAAAAGGCTGAGAAAAAATAATCCCAAATAATATATCTGATGAGGGACTTGTCTCCAGAATGGAGTCCTGCAACTCAGTGATAAAAAGATTAATAACAGTTTTTAAAGGGAAACATGTGAATCAAAGGACAGAGTCACCTGAGTGAAAAATAGGAGAAAAATATTTACAGGTCATATATGTAGTAAAGGGTTAATCTAGAATATATAAAACTTTCCTAAAGCTCAAGACCAATCCCAAAACCTGATTAAAAATAAGCCCAGGGCTTAAGTAGATGTCTCATATACTGCTGGTCAGCAAGCACATGAAAAAATGTTCAACATCCAGCCAAGCATAATGGCACCTTCCTATAATCTTAGCATTCTGGGAAACTGAGGCAGAGGATCAAAAGTTCCAACCCATCCTGGGCAATTTAAGTTAGCCAGACCCCATCCGAAAATAAAATTATTTGAAAGAGCTAAGAATGTAGCTCAGTGTGGACTCAATCTCCACTTTAAAAAAAAGTTCATTGTCACTAATGATGAGGGAAAGCCAAACCACAGCCATCTTCCACCCATTAAATGACTACTATCAGAAACAGAAGTAGTGTTGGCTGGTTATGAAGAAAGCCACGCCTTTGTAGGCTGTTGGTGAGAATGTGAAATGGTACAACAGCCATGGAAAGTGTGGCAGTCTTGTATCATTCAGCAATTCCACTTCCAGATGTACAACCAAAATAATTGAAAATAAGGTTGAAGATATACTTGTATACCCATGTTTGTCACAGTATTATTCATGATAACCAAGGGTCCATCCATATGTGAAGTAATAAATATGGTATGTCCATACAGTGGAGTATTACTCAGCTGTTAAAAGGAAGGAGATTCTGATACATGCTACAATACAGAAGAGCCTTTAAGGACATTATGCTGAATAAAATAAGCCGGTCACAAAAAGGCAAACTCTGTGTGATTCTACTTACATGAGATCCTTCAATAGTTCTATGTTTATAGGAACTGAAAGTAGATTAGTGGTGTCCAGAGGCTAGGAGGGAGGAGCAATGGGGAGTGCCTGTGAATGAGCACAGGCTTCCTTCTGGGGTAATGAAAACGCTCTGAAGTGAATGGTGGTGGTGGCTGCAGCACTCTGTGAATATACTAAACCCGTGCACCATAAGGTTTTCTACAAGTATATTGGATGGTGTGAAGTGTGCCTCCACAGAGCTGTTGAAAAAAGACTGAAAATGGAAGAGGGGCTGACTTCATCCTTGTGATTCAGCTTTTGCCATAGTTGCTTTAAACAACTAAAAGTCTGTCTCCGGTGAGCAGGGATATAGTCCCAGGGTTTGGAAGTGCTTTTTCAATTTAATTAGAAACACCAATAAAGACAGACGTTCAATATTAAGTGAAGCAGAATGGCACCTTCCTGTAATCTTAGCACTCACGGTTTTCCCCTCGAGGGCTGCTGCTCTAAGACCTGGCAAGATACCCAGAAGCTGTTACTCATTTTTGAGTCTTTCGGGGATTATAAAAAGGGATAGCTGCCCATCACGTCTGGCTCTCAGGTCAAGAAACCATAGGGACATCTCTGCCGTCCTTAACAGGGAGGCTCTTCATTGCCAGAGGACAGATTAAAATAGCTAATAGTGATTTTTAAAAGAATAATACAGTATAATCTTTGATTTCTGCATAACTGCTCTCCAAAGCGATGTAGAAGGACCCTTCTAGTCTGTTGCCAGGGTTTGCTGAGATACTTTGCCTCGTTTAGACTCTTTTCCCCCAGTTTTGACTTTTTGTCAAAGGCAGTAGGGAGCTCAGGGAGGGGCAGTGCAGAAGGCTGCCCCAGGCAGGTCTTGCAGTCTGGTTAACCTTGTGTCTCTGCAGCCCAGTTTTCGTGTCGGGCTCGTGGTGAGTGTTTGAATGATACTGGGAGGAAACTGTCGAGTATGGGCGTGGGAAGGCAAAGGTGGTGGTGGGCCCTGACTTGTCTCGTATGTGTGGCTCTCCGAAGCTCCTGCTGGAGCACCAGGACGCCATCGCCCCCGAGAAGAGCGACTCCCTCAACGAGCTGCTGGAGCTTCTGGGAGCAGCGCCCAGCGTGGAATCCTTCCTTGGTAAGCGCTGTGCCTCCTGCACCTGGACTTTGCTCGTTTGTTTAATTGTTTAGTTTCACTCCCATAAAAATTGTTTTGAAATTTAATACTTGAGCTTCTTTAAAGGAGAATATCTACCTTTTCCCCTCCTTACACTAAGAATTCTATAATTCTGGGCTGGCTCAGTGAAAGACCACGTGTTATCACATGCAAAGTGCTGGGTTTTATTCACAGTGCATACACATACATGTACACATACCAGAAATTCTGTAATTCATAGTCTCCTTGACTAAAAAACAGTTTTATATCCAGGAAGGTAAGCTCCAGATATGTCAAACAGCATTTATCAGTCAATCTGTTTCACAAAGAAAGAACATGAAGAAACCAATTTTGTTAAAAAGTAACATTCCTTTCTGTGTTTCCTAAAATCTCTCCTTTAGTTGTTCTCTCTTTTTGTTATTTGTTCATATTTTAAATATGTGTCCCGTGTTACTTGAATGTTGCAGTCAAATATTTAAAAACCCACCTCAGCTGTAGCGGTGTGTGGATTCTGTAGGGCAGTGTCGACGCCGTCCCCCCACATGGGGAGTGAGCTGGAAGGTAACTGTCGCTCTCATCCTACAGGCGAAGGAGCGGTGGACCCCAATGACCCTAACAAGGAGAACACACTAAACCAGCTCTCAAAAACAGAGATTTCCCTTTACTTGACAAGCAAATATGACATAGAGGATGGCGACGCTATTGATGGCCGGAGTCTTATGATAAAGTAAGTTGTGAGCTAGCAGCCACGTGTCCCCAGCCACACAGGCCGACACTCACACACTTGGTGAGACTCAACCCCAGAGAATTCACTCAGAAGCCGGTGAACACTGACATGCACTGTGTTTATCAGCGAGACATTGAACCGAGGATAATAGGCCCTCTCCTTCAGGAGGGAACTGAGTACTGGAACAGCCTGCCTCGGCTTTTGGTTTTCCTTGGAGTGATTTGATTCCTTTAAGAAATAAATGAAGTAATTAACTCAGGGAAATATCTGTTTCACAGTGGTTGAAAGATTTCCAAGGAAACACTCTTTAACCAAATTTTATTTCTGTTATAAAATGATGGAAAAAGGCACATACACGGTAAGCCCTGATACCACCTGACTTGTTGGCCTCCTTTCCTATTAAACTAGTCCTGGAAATGGTCACCAGCTCTGACTTTATTTAGACCCTAACTTCTGCCCCAGAGATTTCAGATGAAGCATCCACATTTTCAACCACCGCTGTGTGTCCCGTGAAGGCTCTTGAGTGTGCCCCATTGGTCCTCTCACATAGAAAAAGGACGGCAGCACGACTCTCCAAATGCCACAAACCAAGAGCACGTGCTCACTGAACAGTGTAGCTTTGGAGAGCTTGCATAAGGGATCAGATGCCGTCTACACACTGGACCGGATACATGGAGGAAGGTGGAGAGCAGGGAAGGGCAGTGGTGAGGAGTGGGAATAAATCTGCAATGAAGCTTCTCACGCCTTCTTGCAAGCAACCTGTCGGAGTTTGTGGCCATTTGCTTTGGTGCTGGCTTTGGTGTCCTGCTATCGGGCAGCACTGCAGTTTTTCCAGATGTGCAGCCACCAAAGAGCTTCCCCAGCATGCTAGGTTGTGTGATCCACTTCTTCCACTTCTGCGGGCTTTGACCTTGGACACTCGAGAACCTGCGCTGGTCCTGGGCACACAGCAGTGGACCCGCCAGTGCGACCTCACTGTCCGGTCACAGGCACAGCCGCAGGACCAGGGACACATCCTCCACCTCTCAGATGCTCAGGGCAGGGCTTTCCCCTGCTACGCACAAAATCACATTGAACCTTCAGGGAGACAGGGCAGAGCAGGGCGTAGAGAAAAGACAGGAAATGGAGTTCTGCTTCCTGGCCGCCTCTGCCCAAGCGACAGTTATTAAAGTGACTGGAAATGTAGACAGGCTGGTTCTGCCGTGCAGATGGAACTAGGTCGATTATCCCATGGCCTCATATACTCTGTTCTTTGAAATAACGGGGTGAAGCTTTCTCTCAGTTGGTTTTATCTGGAATTTGAAGACTATTTTCTAGAAGCAGGGAACTCTATTGCCTGCATTCATGAATGGGGAACACAGCTTGGGTAATCTAAAGTATCAAGCCATCTGATGGTCACATCCACTTGCACTAGTTTCAGACAAGTGTCTCCATGGCTGTGCAAGTTCTTAGAATTCACATTTAATAAAACAAAACCAGAAAAATCAGGTGCCTTGGGAAGGGATGCACCTCATCCCAGGAGGCCTAGAGCTGTGTCCCGCCTCCCTTGTGGAGCGCCGGCTGAGCAGGGAGCAAACTATACAGACACCACTGCTCCTGTCATCACCATTCTCTGTAGAGCCGGCCAGTGGGATTGCTTTATTGTGGTGGAGAATATGCAGTGTGAGATCTGTTCTCTTTCACAGTGTGGATGATAGTGCAGTCACAGTGCTAGGCACCGTCTCCGCTGTCCAGGACCGCACCGTCATTGACATCTGAGTGTTTTCGCTCCCCGGGCCCTGCTGATCACGAGTCTGCTTTCTGTTCCTGGAACTTACTTATTCTAGACATTTCCTATCAATGGAATGACAGTTGTACCTTGGTTCACGAATTTAATTCTTCCCTCAGTTCAGTTCACAGAATTTGTTCCACAACCTCAACTAGAATCAGAGAATGAGTTCTTCGACTAGAATCATGGAGAGAATTAAGTTCATGAACCAAGGTGCCACTGTGTATAATATATGACTTTTTGTTCCTGGCTTCTTTTACTCAACAATGTTTTCAAAGTCCCTCCAGGTTGTAGTCTGAATCAGTACTTTGGTCCTTTTCATGATCAAGTAATATTTCATTGTATGTTATGCTACGTTTTATTCTTCAGATGATGAACATTTGGGTTGTTTCCACCTTTAGGTGGAAATAATGATGCTGCATACTTTTGTGTACAAGTTTTCTTGAGTATGTTTGTGCTGTTTAGTGAGCATCATTATCATGGGAATTGGTAATATGCATATTTTATCTTAGTCCTTTTTATTCCTTTTGCTTCTCCTCCTTCCCCTCTGTCCATCTCTAGAATCTCTTCCCATCTGCAAAAGGTCTACCTCCCTGCTTCCTCTCCTCTTTTATTCTGCTTTTTAAATGATACTTTGGATTTGTCATGTAAGAGAAACCGTGATATATTTTACCTTCTGTGTCCAACTTATTTCACTCAACATTGTGGTCCCGAGATGCATCCACTTACAAGTTGTTGTTGAACACCTGTTTTTGATTCTTCGGGCACAGATCTAGGAGTGGCATGGCTGGTTACACGCAGTTCTGTGTTTAGCCTTTGAATGGACCATTGGACCTTTCCCACAGCAGCTAAGCCATTCACGTTCCTCCCAGCAAGGCTGAGAGCTTCACTTTCTACACAGTCAGTAACATTGTTTTTCTTTTACTTTTTACAATAATGCCCTCCCAGTGGGTATGGAGTGTGGTGTTTGCTGTGGTTTTGATTTGGAACTCCCTCGTCACTAGAGATGTTGGCTCTGTTCATGTGCTTGTTGGCCATTTGTATACCTTCTTTGTAGAAATATCTGTTCAAATCCTTCACCCATTCCTAAATGGAGTTGGTTTTGGTTCCTGAGTTGAAAGAGTTCTTTATATAGTCTAGATACTCAGCCCTTATCAGATACATGATTTGCAAATATTTTTGCCCCTTCTGTGGTTTATCTTTTTACTCTTGTACAGTTTTTTAAAAAGTGTGCAGAAAAGGATATCACAAAGAAAGAAAAGACAACCACAGAGGGAATGAAAATATTTACTGCTTGGTAGTACTGAGGATATTTACTTCTCATTTGTTATGTGTACAAACACACAGAGTTATATTCGGAGAGAGCATGAAGAGCATATGTGCCTATATACAACATATACAATGTATCATATGATCTAGTGATCCCATCAGGATGGAAAATATGCTCAGTAATTTACAGAGGAGGAAAATAGGCTCAAAACAGACGTAGCCCTCATCCTGGGTAACACAGTTCAAAGAAGAGAAAGACTCAAACCCAAGGAAGCCAGGTCCTCCAGAGCCTGCGCCCTGAAGGAGCAGTCACACCACTATGAGCAGCGTCACTGTTCACGTAGCACACATCATGAGGATTACATAACACCGGTCATCATTCAGGCCGAGAGGGGGTGACTGACAGATCTGAGGGGCACACAGGGCATATGATGGACTAGGAAGAAACACTGAGTTCCCTTTCTCTTTGTCACATTTGTAGAATACAGCTCCTCAGTTTGGTTGTTGCCATTTCCCCAGTACTACAAAGCAGGGTCGGATTTTAAAAGCCTGGCGGTGGAGTCCAGGGTGACTGCATTACAACCTCCACCTGTCGGTTGTTAACCAAGTCCCAGCAAGTCACCAATCATCAGTGTCCTCTGCTATAAATGGGGAAGGAGGAGAAGAGGAGGTGCTGTGGGGACTGGCAACCCCATGAAATCATGCATTAGCTCTGTATAAATTATAAAGGACTACACATGTGTAAATCTTGCTTTATTATACCCTGTGATTCATCTTAAAATATGTGACCTTTATGGCATTTATTAAGCTTTCTTTTCCACAAAAGCATGTGTAAGTCAAAGGTGATATTTGTGGGTTTTAATCATACTTAGCTGCCCAAGTGCTTAAGTTGTCATCTCTTAAGAATTTTTCTCCGCTCCTATGATTCAGTTTGGATATCCAGTATCCCACCCCAGAGAGCTCCTTGCTTTTGGTTCAGACTGGTGGGAGCACTCAGTGGCCAAGGTGAAATTGTAGGCCTGGTGATAAAAATGTGTAATGATGATATTAGAATTTTAAACAACCAGAAATATTTCTTAGTTCCGTAAATGCAAATTCCTTCTCAGCCGTGGCACAATGGAAGGCAGGTGGCAGAAGGAAGGGCTCAGTAGCGGAGCTGTCGTAATACAGGAACAGGGCCCATAGAACCGACGTCGCCACGGCCAGGGAGCCGTATGAGCTCGCCAGACCGCACTGACGCCTTGTTCCCCAACAGAGGGCTGTGAGCCCAGCTAGGTGAGTAAACTCCCTGGTGTGTTCGTCTTCATTTCTCTGAGTTAAGAGACCTCCCCAGGCAGGGAAGGCAGGATCCTTGGTTTGGACCAGCTTGTTTGAAAAGCTATGGGGCTGACACTCTCCCAGTTGATTTATGTGGCCAGACATTTCTGGAATGTTGTGTTTGCCCTAGGCTGGGGAGGGGCAAGCATCTTAAGAAAATCACTGGCAACAGAAAAGTGAACCAGACTGCAAACTCTCTTTGTGAGTCTAAGAGGAAATGTGCTAGAAGACAGGCTGGAAGTGTAAATCAGTGGTAAGGTTTGCACTTAGCATGTGCGAGGCCTGGAGTTTAATCCCCAATACCCCCGCACACACACACACACACACACAGGATAAGAGGACACAGCCACAGCACCCTTCTATAAGTTTGGGGGGTCTGAAGATGTAGGAGGAGAATTTGCATCATTCTGTGCAGTAGTAGAGAAGCAAAAGACCAGTGTTTACCTGTTCACCCTCTTAGGTCTTTGTGGCCTCCTTTGTAAGAGCAGACAAAGGGTGGTTTTGCTGAGATGCCCTCAGAGCTGATGTCTGTCCTGTGACTAACCGTGTCCAGGGAGCGGGCCTCTCAGACAGCTCGTTTCCTGTAGAAGAATGGAATGTTCCAGTGCTGCACTTTCCCAAAGAAATTTAATAAGAGATACACATGTCATTTCAAATTTTCTAGAAACTACATTTTAAAAACAAACAGGTTAGGGGCTGGGGATTTAGCTCAGCAGCACAGCACCTGCCTGGCAAGAGCAAGGTTCTTGAGTTTGATTCCCAGTACCGGAAAACAAAACAACAACAAAAACAGAACAAACAAAAACAAACAGGTTAAAAAAAAAAAAAACTTTTCAGTTTTCCAGTGAGAAGTTTTATTTTGTGAATTTTTTAATTGACACATAATTATACATATTTATGTTCAATTTATGGGGTATGGTGTAACATTTCAATACATGTATACAAATAATATATTGGATCAGGATAATTGGCATCTGTCACCTCACACAGGGGTCATTTCTTTATGTTGGGAGTTGAAATTATTTCTATTAATATATTTTTATTTAACTTAATATATCAGAAGTACTTTCATTTTAATAGATGATCAGTGTAAGAAACTGTTGCTGTGCTACTGTTGTTTTCCCCATGTTAACTGCTCAACTCCAGTGCATGTCCTGCATGCTCTAGGCATTGTTTATGGGCTCAGCTACCACCTGGGGCCAGTGGCTGCCATCCTGGGAAATGTAGCTTTCAAGACTATGTATAGCTTTACAAGCATCTTTTTGATCAATCCTGTATCAATTCTTTGAGAGGTTTCCCTTTTATAAATAATAAAATAAAACCAATCAGAATTACCACCTAAGGTGCACAAGTCCACATAGCTAATATGCAACAGGAGCCCAGATGTGACCTTAGATCCGTGCGACCCTGGTGTCCTTAATCCTTAGGTACACGGGACAGCAAGAGTTGAGTTCCTCATCTTGGGTCTAGTTGGTTACTTGGATTTAGGATGTCTAGGGTAGAACTTCAGCAGTGAAGGCTGAATACAAAGTAGATAGTAGATATCACAGGCTTGATACAAAGTAGAATTCTGATAGCCAGTTTGTCCTTTAACAACTCCTGAACAAGTAAGCCATTCTTTGTCCCTGGTGGGGCACATATAAGTGACCCCATCTAAAGAAGATGAGTTAGGAGTTTCCTGGAATTGTGTATCACAAGTAGCTTGTAAACAAAGGGACCAAGAAAAAGCAACTACTTTTGCTGCAGCACTAAGAGAAATATGACCCTAAGTCTGATTCTTGGGCCCCAAGAAGAACTCACAACTACATTCATCTGCTACCACTATTAAAAGCCAAGCCACCTCAAAAGGAACTGCCCTAAGAAGCCCCCTGGGCCATGCCCTGAATGCAAAGATGACTACTAGAGATTGGTCTGCCCTCTGAAGTGGAAGTCTTAGAGCTCAGAGCCATCCTACCAGTTAGTCTAACAGGAATGAGGGGGCCCAGGGCATACTCTGCCTTCTCCGTCTGGCCGGACTGTCATCTCCATGGAGGAGGCCTGGGTAATCATGACTATCTAGGAAAAAGAAAACAGCCTGTTACTAGACACAGGTGCAAGTCTCTCGGTCCTTCTTTTCAATCCTGGCCTTCCAGCCATCACACCTCAGTGAAAGGAGTCATTGATAAGGAGGTAATACACTATTTTTCACAACCATTAGGCTGTAACTACTTGTTAGATCTTTCTTGCATATCTCTGTCTTCCTGAGAAACCACTTTGAAGATACTACTATGTATTACAGCAGCCACTGATATTTTCCTACTAATCTGTCCATAACTCTGTAATGTTTGTATTGTTCGTATGCTATTTCATAAATGGATGTATGTTTATTATTATGTGTTTCCTACATTGAGAACAGTCAATGAGTATTCAGTTGGTCACTCATGTATAGCTGTATGTATTTTCTTTAGAAGCCACTTTGAAGATACCAAAGTATAGTACAACAACCACTGATAATAACCTACCACTTTTGTCTGTAAGTCACTATTACTTGTCTATGTGTTTTCCTAAGAAACTATCTTGAATATAACAATATGTAAAATAACAACCATTGATAATTTCTTACCACTTCGTCTGTAATTCGGTAAGCCCTCCCTATTACTATGTTATCCTTCTTCTACTCTTTAAAATTTAAAAAAAAAAAAGGTAGCTTGTAGAACATTATATCAAAAAGCAGTCACTGTTGGCATGTTTGAAGCCATTGGGAGCTTTTATTTTTAACACAGTGTTTTTTTTTAGTTTGTTTCTGGTTGGGACTGGAGAACAGAGATTCACATGGACAAAAGGACGTGTGGCCCTCTCAGCCACAGCTGCTTCAGGGACCAGGCCATCTCCCAGGAGGCTATAATTAGCTGTGTGCCCACTTTCAGCTCTGTTGGAGTCTTTGGCTGTGTGTACATTCCCAGACAGCCTGAAAATTCCCGGCAGTGCAGGGTCTCAGGGCCAGAGGAAATGGCCCTCAGAGGCCTGTGTAGGGGGACGAGGGAAGATGCCCAGAGTCACTGTTCTCTACAGAGGTGTGGTGAATGGCAGATGAGCAGAATCCTGTTTACAGAGGACTTCTAGATTTTATCCTATTTTCAAAAATCTTATACTGGGAGTTAACTTTGAGGAGTTATTCAGGAAAAATTGCCTTTAGGTTTCAAGGTGTAAAATTTTTATTTTTAGCTCTAGTTTTCATGCTGTGAGTGCAAGAAACCACCTACTATTGGTTAGCAAGAAATGCTGTTCTTTGACAGAACTGAAATTCAACAGGATAAGGAGTTACCAGGAAAGTGAAATTTTAGCCCTGACCTGTGTAGTTTAGGCAACCTCTGTTTGCTTCTCTTAGAAGGGAGGCTGTTTCCAATAATGCATGCTTCGTATAAGACAGAGAAGACTGGACCACTGACCTTTATATTAAATTTCTTTCATAATGATATAACCAGGTCCTTAATTATGAGGGAGTGGCCAATTGCCATAAAGAATAAGTAGTAAGTCACATGGCTTTCACACTGCACAGGGTTCTCCCGCTCAGCACTTTTTGCCCTCAGCCCTCTGTCCTCTTCCAGCTGAGAACCAGGACCTGGCCTTGTTAGCTCCCTGGGTCCTTGAACACCTGTCATCCTAGCTGCCTCCATAGTCCGCATGGGGCTCTGCTCCCGCCTGTCCCCAGCCTGCTCTAACTCTGTCAGGGCAGGGGGCAAGGCACTTGGTCTGGCTCCTAAAGGCTTACGATGCACAGAGAGGCTCAGAAGTTTAAATGCTACTAAAGTCAGGAAAGGTGGGTATTAGCATTCTCCGCCCTCAATGACAGCAGGCCACGTTGGCAGCACTTACCCCTGCTGCCCATCAAAAAGTCGTCTCTGTCTACAAAGAAGGAAAATACTTAGATAAGGGATGTTATGGCGTACTTGTGCCCAGGGAGGGACAGTTTAATCCTCCAACATCCAACGGGTGAAGCCCAGGCTTCAGTGATCAAACATTCATGAACTCTCAAGAGCCACAGAGCAGACCAGTGGATTCCCGCAAGAATGTTTCATTTTGAGGGATTTTCTTTGAAGCTTCATTTTTGGACCTATCTTCACTCAAGAGAACTGACATTTGTGTACCAGGGCTGCTGTCTGAAAGTCTCTCTCCTCTTTTTCTCCTTTGTAAGGACCAAAAAGCTGATTATTGATGTGATTCGAAACCAGCCAGGGGCCACACTGACTGAAATCCTAGAGACCCCAGCAACTGAACAGCAGGTAATTTGTGCGTAAGTCTAAAATAAATATAATAGACAGGATTTGATTTCCGTAGTGTATCTCCATGGCAACTGTTCAGTGGCATCTGGGAGGAACTGCTTCCGACGTGGTGTGAAAGTAAGGAGTCAGGCCTGTCATGGTAGCCAACTGAGCACATCATAGATAAAACCCATGTACAGTATCAGTGGATGAAAATAGAAAACACGGCATCAAAGTTATGCTGAATTTAATTGTGCTGCACAGTAGGAAGGTAATTCTGAGTCTTTCAAAGCCTCAGAAGGGTCATCATAAACTTTATCATACAAGATAAGTCAACCACGAGATAGTTCTGTTTGATAGGATGTAGAATCTTTCCTAAGTTACGTATTTGCTAACTTGAGGAAATCCATCTCTCACATAAAGACTGTTTTCCCAGCACTTCAGAGGCAAATGTCTGAGTGTACTGGGCCCATGTAACATTGGTGTAGGTGCATTTTCATGATACTCTTGCATTGAACTCCTCATTATCTCTTAAAATATATCATTATTCAGTTCATTTTGAAATAGGTAGTTTCAGTATTAGGAATTTAATACCAAGAATTGCTGTTCCCTAAACAAAAGTCAACAAAAACATCTAGTTACTTCTTAATGAGACATTTTCCTGAATTTTTAAAATTTAATTGGTTTCCAGGAAACCATTCTGTCTCTGGTTTTAATTTTTAAAATATGAAACAAAATTTCAAATTATCTGATGTTTATTAACGCATGATTTTTTTTGAAAGTATGGATAGATCATCCTAGTTTATCATCCTAGTTTAATATGAGACTTTTAGTGTTTATTGTTTCATTTTCCCCCAAATGTGTCATGACTAAGTGACAAAAACACAGACGGTGGGGTGGAATGTAGCTCCATACCTGCTTATTGTGTAACTCCGGACACTTGCAATGTTTCTGTGCCTTAGTTTCCTCAACTATAAAATGGGAAGAGGAATAATTTCTAACTCACAGGCAGGATTAAGTGCGTGAAAACGTGTTAAATGGGTAGGAATGTATCTGGCAAATGTTAAGTGCTCACTAATGTTAACTGCTGTGTGTTGCTAACCTGCCAACTATTCCTGTGTCCACAGTGTTGGCCCGTGTACCCTGTGTCTAACATTGCAGTATCTAATTACTAACTGCCATGTCCATAGAATTCATCTGGTGGGTCAGGCACCTGGCTAGCACAGTGAAATGGGAAGATCACCATTCTGTCTTTACATCTCTATTTATTTCTTGAACAAATTACCTAGATAGTATTTGTTTCCTTTACTCATAGTCTATTTTGGAACTCGTTGTATGCCAGAACATCCTTATCCCCTTTGGGTCAAAGAAATCCTGTGGGCTGCTTGGCTTTGGTAGTTGGAGAGTGACCCCATTACCAGGGTGAAGCCCTTCTCCTCACTGCCTGGCTTACGGATCTCTGTAACTGTGGCTGATGTGAGAGTTTCAGGGCCTTCCAGACATGCAAGTTCTCAAAGCCACATTTTAGTAGATAATCTAGTTTTAATTGTCTCAACGGGGCTACCCAGGGATTGAAATCCCTCCCTCCAGGGAATGCCAAAGTAGTTATCCACTAAAACATGTTCATTACTAAGGTACTTTGGCACTTCTCTAAAAAGTACCTACTTAGAATTTTGCCCAAATTAAGTTTGCCATTCCTACTGTGTTACAAAGAGGATGTAATTCTTTCCAAAGTCCTACTGCAAAACCATGAGGACCAGGTTAGTCTTGGACTTTGTCTTGAGGACAGCTTTCATTTTGACATTAATTTGCCTAGTGTGGGTCCTAAATCTGAGATTAAGAGAGTAGAGAAAAACCAATACTGAATATTCTCTGTTCAGGAACAAGATCATGCCAAAGACATGGTGAGCCGCGCGGTGATGGACTCCAGGACTCCAGAAGATGGGAAGCAAAGCCAGGCAATGATGGAAGACGCTCAGCTGCCTCTTGAGCAAAAGAAGAGGAAAATCCAGAGGAACCTTCGGACATTAGAACAGACCGGACATGTGTCATCAAAAAACAAGTACCAGGATATCCTCAATGAGATTGCCAAGGTGTTTGGAAACAGTATTTTTCTTTTTCACTTAGCAGACTTTTGCTTGGCGTTGGGTGCACACTGGGCACCTGGAGGTGACGTGAAGGGACTTGCAGTTACCTATGCCACAATTCTACTCTCCTCAAAATTGCAGGTGTTCAGAGGTTCCAAAGAAGTGGGTGTCTTTTAATTGAGAATAACCACAGCTCCCCCAAACCACTAGGGGAGTTAAAACACACCAGAATAAAAAAAAAAAAAAAAAACAGGAGATTGGATAGACAGGTTAGATCTGCACCTTTAAGCAGTCCTTAGTACTCTTTCGGTGATGCTTATAGGAGAGCTTTCTCCTGTAAAAGATTGGTGGTGGCCATATCACCCAATTGCTCAGGACCTGCCATTGTGATGGTCTCTTGGGGTCCTTGAGATTTCCAAGAAGCTTAGCCTAAATCCAGTTCAGACTTGAAAGTTTCTGTTTTCTCATCTTATGTTTTCACATTGGAGAAGCTTCCCGAGAAAATGATCTCAACTTAGTGCAGGGAAACATCACAGGAAGTGGTGACATCTGTTTGTCAAGGATAAGCAAGTATGTGCTCGGGTAAAGAGCACATTTCATTCCTGTCATCCAAACCTTCAGCTAATAGTGGTCTGGCGGGGAAAGGCAGTTAAATGATGAGAGAAAAATCTAATTTTTACACCCCCTGGGAATAATATGCATACAGTTTCACTTTTGATGGAAAATTATGGTCAATTCTGAAAGTACTGAATTCTAGCCACTAGAACACCAGGGAGATTATGGTCAGTTCCAAACGAAGCTTATTAGTCCCGGCCTGCACGACACAAGAGAAATAGCCTTTCTTTCTATAGCTTTGGAGTAGAAGGTATTTTTCCTTGGAAATACAATGTAGAGAAATCAGTGTTTCTGCCTTCTTTAAGGCTATCATAAAGGTATCCACCAAAAATTTCCATTTAATGAAGGTTTTCCCTTGCGGAGAATGTGTGGGATGACCTCTGTGAATTCCTGGAGGAATGGGCTTTAATTTTTTTCACAAAAGAAAATAACATTAAACAGATACCATTTTCTTAAATGAAACAGTCTCATGACTTACTGAATAGAATAACAAAAAAAAATACGTGTTTAAACTTAGTGCGCGTCAGCCAGACATGGTGGCGCATGCCTGTAAATCCCAGCATTACAGGAGGCTGAGGCACAAGCATCATAAGTTCAAGCCCAGCTGGGGCAGCTCTGCAAGACTCCCTTAGCAAGGGAGGAATCTGGGGGTGTCCCTCAGTGTAAGGGCCCTGGGTTCAATCCCTAGCACCACCAAAAAACAAAAAATTAGTGCAGTTCTTGTAGGGTATAAATAGTTTTCTCTACTTTATGTTCCAGGAATTCTATTTAAATGCAAGTATAGTCATTTCTTGGTATTTCTGGGGAAATGGTTCTAGGACTTCCCACTGATAACCAAAATCTCCAGATGGTCAAATTCCTTATGTGAAGTGGCAGTTTTTGTATATGACCTGTGTATATCTTCCCATATTTTTTGAGACTGGGGTCTCACTATGTTACCCCCGCAACCACTGCCATAGTGGTTTTCCTTGTCTCGGCCTTCCAAGTGGTTGGGACTAGAGGTACAGGCCACCATGCCCAGCAATCCATACACTAATAACCTCTGTATTACTTACAACACCGAACACAACAGAAACGTGGCTGTGTAAATCCGTACTATTGTGTGTTATTTAGGAAGTAATAACAAGAAAAAATGGCAACATGTTCAGTGTAGAAACATTATTTTTCCATGTTTGGTTGAATCTAGATGTGGAACCCAGGAAAGGGAAAACTAAGTGTTGAGTCCTTGAGTCTTAAGAGCTCAGTTGTCATTTTTCAAACCTCAAGAAATACTTATCAGCCAGGTGTAGTGGTGCACACCTGTAATCCCAGCACTCTAGAGGCTGAGGCAGGAGGATCACTGTGAGTTTGAGGCCAGCCTGAGCTACACAGCAAGACCCTGTCTCGAAAAAAAAGAAGTGTAAAGCTGCAAAACATTTCAAAATTTCGGCCAGACATGGTGGCTCACACCTGTAATCCCAGCACTCTAGAGGCTGAGGCAGGAGGATCACTGTGAGTTTGAGGCCAGCCTGAGCTACAAAGTGAGCTCAAGGCCAGCCTGAAATACACAGCAAGACCCTGTCTCGAAAAAAAAGAAGAAACATTTAGCAGGTGAAATGTTTTTCACTTATTACTGAAATGAAACCAAGCAGTAAACAGGTATTTTCAATTTAAAATATTCTTCAAAGGAAAGTTCAAAATGATGCAAAGAACCCCTACTGATATCTCTGTACCCTTTTTAAGCACTATTTTTCCATAAACTAATTGTATGGTTATTCAAAAGTTATTTACTTGTTTTTTCATCAAGAGAAGAATAAGCCTTAGCAAGTCTTTTAAAGTGTAGTGTAGATACTCTTTCCAGGTCTGAAGTAGAAAAAGATATAGATGCTTTGGTGGTGAGGTAATGTATATAATAAGGAGCCTGAGATAAACTACAGGTTTACAGTCACGGTGCCTTAATACTTGTTCTTCTCATCCACATTACAATCCCAAAAAGCATATTTCTGCCCAAACCTATTATTATATCCTTTCCTTGTTGTTATAGGATATTCGAAATCAAAGAATCCACCGTAAGCTTCGAAAAGCTGAATTGACGAAACTTCAGCAGACTCTGAATGCACTTAATGAGAAGGCAGCATTTTATGAAGAGCAAATCAATTACTATGACACCTACATAAAGACTTGTTTAGACAACTTAAAGAGGAAGTAAGTGACAATAGTCTGTTCCTTTGTACCATCATAGTTTATATGGGGAGATTACAGTCCTGCTTAGCAGGGCTGTGTTAGGTTTAGAACCAGGTTTTTCACTCTGTCTTCTAGCTGAAAACTAGACTAGAGTCTGCTTTTCATGATTGGCTACTGTGGCCCAGAAAGCCAAAAATGAATGTAGAATCTTTGAATTCTCTATCAGCATTAGAATTAAAGAAGTTTACCCTGGTGTATTTTGAGCAAGTAGCGTTAATATTTGGGGAAGCACTGTATTCCTTTTGTCTTTTTAATTCAAAGGCTTTTTTCAAACTATTTTTTAAAAAAATTTGTTTTCTGAGTGTTTCCTATAAACAGGGTTTTATATACTTAATAATATTAGATAGTGCCAGATAATTGCTAATTGCACAGAATGACATCATGATTTAAAATTCCTTAATGGTTTTAAAAATCATTAATTGGCAGTCCTCCACTATCCATTAACATACCTATTGTAGATTTTGTACACACTATAGCTACTCTTAATTAATATTCTTTGCTCGTATTATTCTTACCACTCAACTAGGGTCAATGTTAATCAAATTTTAATTACCATTAAAATATATAATACAGCATTCTCACATAGCCCTAGCCTTCACATTGGCAATAGCAAATGATGTGTGGAAAATTCAGTTGCATTAATCATAGAAGATTTGATGCAGACCTCATTTGTTTGGGCCCCCTAGTTCCAGATCTTCGTTTATTTGCTTTTAAGCTAGATGTATACCTGGGGAAAAGGAGTTGGTCAAGCTAATTTCCAGTAGCAATGAAATTGTTAGAGATTTGCTGGATAATCATTGCAGCTACTTTAAGGCAACCCACACCGACTTTACAGGCAGATGACCAGCATCTGGGTTCTGATTGTCTCTTATATCATTGCGTCTTAAATCTGGTTCCATGAACTTCCTTCAGCCTCAATCTTCTCATCTTTCAGATGAAAATAGGTGTGCCAGGCTCACAGCTTTGTTATGGGGGCTAGTAAAATAATAGATGGCAGAGGAATTGGTTAGTTGCAAAGCATGTTGGAAATGTTAATTTTGTAAATGTGAGTAATATCTATAAGGCTCTTAGAACAGCAGCAGCCACAGTTAAATTCAATTAAATCAATTAAAATTAAATTAATAAAATAAAATAAATAAATAAAATAATTAATTAAATTAAATTAATTGAAGCAGTCCTAGTAGGATCTTCACTCAGGACTACACAGTCCATGCTGCTGCACCAGAGCTACTTGCAGAATGACTTAGAATTTGTTCAGTAAGGCTAAGAACACAGAGTGTAAGTTTTCTTAAAAATAGCAGCCTGGAACACAGACTTTACTTGGGAAACCCTTTCCCTTGGACAGTTCAGTCATGAGGTTTTCCCTCCTGGAAGGAGTTGTTACCTGTACCACAAAATGAAAAGGTGTGCATTTCAAGCAGTGTGGGACAGCGCACCAACGGGTGGTCTGTTCTTATTTTGTCAGAAATACTCGGCGGTCCATCAAACTGGATGGAAAAGGAGAGCCCAAGGGCATGAAGAGAGCGAAACCCGTGAGGTACACAGCAACAAAGCTGCATGAGAAAGGTGTCCTGCTAGGAATCGATGACCTGCAAACAAACCAGTAAGTGTGACCAGAATTGTATAGAACACACGTGAAATGTGACTCAGCACCTCCTTGGTTTCCTTGGCCTTGGAGAGAACTGTACCTGGTCTATCAAGACTCACTCTTGATTCCAGGTGACAGGGGATGACTACTTGTGTTGAGGTCACCAGCTCTCCCTCAGGCCTGTGTGTCCCCCATGGTTGTCCAGTATGCGGATATGTGAGCCTCCCGCTTCACCTGAAAGAACTGAGTCACAGCAGCAAGAATGAACAGCTGCCCCTGGGTCTCAACAGATGAGCTGTGGACAGTTGCAGAACAATCCTTTTCTCTCTCCAAAGCCAGATTGTGCAGCCCCGAGTCTGAGCCACTTGCACCAGTATGCTGTACCTCAAGCACTCCATGCAGTGGCTGTATGACCTCGAGGTGGAAGAGAAAACAGAAAGCCACCTTCCCAGCCCGAGTAGGCACAAGAGCTGCTTCCTTTGAATCATGACCCAGGGCCCCATCCGTCCCTTGTCCTCTGTCTCAAGGGAAGTCAGAATTCCTCCTCTCCAACACCCACCTTCCCTCAAGCTTTCTGTTCCACTGATCTCATGAAACCTCTCAACTGCACAAATTCAGAGAAAACCCTTCTTCCTTGTTTGAAGTTTCTCTGGAATACTGCTGTCTTGGGCAGCTTTCCTGTTGCTGGGACCAAATACCTGACAGCCACCACCTAAAGGAAAAGATGGTTTCTTTGGCTCACGGTTTCAGAGCTGGTGGTGCATGGTGGGCTGCTCCAAGGAGAAACATCATGGGGAAGGGCATGGTGGAGCAGAGCTGCTCAGTTCATGGTGGCCAGGAGGCAGAGCAGGGGAACCACACCAGAGAGGAAGAGGCCAGGAACCAGATATAGGACCCAGGGTTGTTCCTTTAAGACCCACCGGGACACGCCCAAGTTGCGCTCCAACAGTGCCGTGGGCAGCTCCCACACCACTCAGCTTAACAACCTGGCTTAACTCATTGCTGCCGCAACAGCAGCATAGGTCCGTATTTCATTCTCACCCTCTGTGACTTCCATAGGCTTTCAACTATATTTTATGCTCCTCAAGGACACATATCTTCTATTTCTTTTGTAATAATGCACCTATTTTAGTGGTCTGAGCATGCAGTGGTCAGATCTCAACAGCTGCCATCTGACCTACTATTTGGGGAGCAGAGTGGGAAAAATATGATGTGAGGTTTTTGGTGACTTCCTTCGGATTCTCGCCACAAGCTGCTCACTGAGCGCTAAATTGAGATTCCATTCATTTGAGATGTAAGAGTGTACCTCTAATTACACATGTGTGAATGTTCTCTCTCCACTAGGTTTAAGAATGTTACATTTGATATCGTAGCAACCGAAGATGTGGGCATCTTTGATGTCAAATCAAAATTCCTTGGTGTTGAAATGGAAACGGTGCAGCTTAATATTCAGGTAGCCTGGGGTTGGGGTGGGTGTCATGCGCGGGCCATCTGTGGCTTCCCTGGCTCACTGTTCTCGATATCTGTGGAGTTCAACAGACAACCAGTGCAGACCTTACGTGCCAGGGTCCATCTTTAAATGTCTGGGTTTTATGTTTTTTCTTTGGTTGTTTTGTTGAGTTTCATTTTGTTTTGTTTTGTTTTTCAGTACTGGGGACTGAATCCAGGGTCTCGAGTGTACTTAACAATCACTCAACCATTCCACTATGTCCCCCACCCTTTATTTTTAAAAAAATTTTATGAGCCACATATGTAATTTTCCTTTTTCATTAGTATATATTTGCAGTACATAATGATTACAGTTATTGTGGGGAGTTGGTAAATGTACAGATTTTATTTTTGAGGCAGGACTTTGCTAAATTGCCCAGACTGGCCTCAAACTTGCAATTCTCCTTCCTCAGCCTCCTAAATAGTTGAGATTACAGGTGTGTGCTACCATGCCCAGCTTGATGCCTTTAAAAAAAAAAAAAAAAACAACAGCGATTTTTCAAGTTGCTAGAACTTAAAATACTTACAGACGGTAAACCATAGCAGTCAGATTTTGTAAGTCACACTTCTATTTTGAGCTTAGACAAAAAAATACAGAAGTATTCAAGATATTAAGGAAAGCTGGAAAGCTTCCCCCTGTGAGAAAGTTCACTTCTTTCTAAGACTCTGCCCAAATTTGGGACTTTCCCTTCTCCCGTTTCTCCTTTTCTTTCTCCTTCCTAGAATAGTTTCTATATCCACTCTTGAATCCATTTGTTAAATGTTTTGGATCATAAGAATGAAAGACATGGTCTAAAACACATACCTAGAAGTAGAAAAAATGGTGTTTGCAATGTGAATTATCACTGTTTTCTCATAAAAAGTACATCCTAAGCTGAGCATACCTGAAGGAAACTGAGAGAGCTAGTTCAGGTGTGAAAGGAAAACTGAAGGGCCGGGATACAAGCAACAAAATGCCACCTTCCAACGCCCGCTTTCTAACCCCTAGGACAGGGTCTGCTGTACAGAAATAAGGGATGTGATGCTTTTTCATGTGATGCTTTTTAAAATAACAGCTGTTTTCCTGGACCTCAAGAAATCTGTGCAGTGGTTTCCAGTTCCTCTAAACAGAGCTGTGTGAATCAGGGTGCTGCGTCCTAGGAGTGAGCTCATGGCCAGCTGCTGCCAACTTGTCCCTGGCCCAGCACCCTGAAATGACCACCTTCTCTGGGAGCCATTGCCAGAGCCCTTTCTCTCTGCAGACATCATAGCCTTAAAAAGAAAAATGGGACCTCAGTGGGTTCTTTAAGGACAGTGAGTGAAAGATGATAAATAATTATAGAAAGAATATGTTAGATGGAATTATGTTCCAGCTTGTTTTTTTATTTCTTGGGGTTTTTGTTTTTTGGGTTTTTTTTTTTTGTCTTTTTGAGACAGGGTCTCACTGTGCAGTTCAGGCTGGCCTTGGGCTCACTTTGTAGCCTAGGCTAGCCTCAAACTCACACTGATCCTCCTGCCTCAGCCTCCCGAGTGCTGGGATTACAGGCATGTGCCACCACGCCCAGTTTTCCAGCTTGTTTTAAAAGTTACCACATGTGTTTGTGTAGTAGCTTCATTCATGACAGTCTCCAGGTGCTCTAGGTAACGCTTAGGTAAATACAGGAGGAGAAAATAGTGGGTAACCGTACACCAGGACCTTCTGCAGACCTGACAGAGATGCCATGGATTGCTAGTCAATGGCCACCGACTGGCTGAGTCGCAAGGAGCGAGGGGACACCCTGTGTGTGTGGAGAGAGCTCAGGAGTCTGTAGGGCTTCCCCTGGGTGCTAGGACAGAAGCAGAGCCTTCTTTCACCTTTGTTAAAGAGCCAGTGCACAGTAGGATTAGCTATTCACACCCTTCATTTACGCCCATGGTTGACTGTGAGATGTTTTACTCCCTAGCTGGATACAGGTGACCAGTATGCCACAGGTTTTTATTAACATATAATCAGAACTAACTGCATGATTCACAGGAATCAGTGCAAAAGAAAGGGTCCTTGGTTCAAAATTAAGACAGATTTTAATGCAGGAGAGCATTAAACCAAGCACAGGACCCTGCTGAGCTTAGGACCCAGTGCAGCTCCATGGTGTACCTCCCGTGAACCGGCCCAGCATGTGATCGCTGCCCAGGTGAAGTTAGACTTCAGGTCTGTGCCTTTCTGACAGTCTGCTGTGTCAGCTTCCATAGAAAGCCTGGTGGCTGGGTCCAGGGAGGGAGCGGGGAGACACTGCCGACAGGGCTGAGGCAGGCCCCTCTCAAAGTGCCGCTCCATGGTTCGGGCTTGTCTTCAGCCCATCCCCCTCCATCTCCTGAAGAGATCTGTGAAATAGACTTACCAGAGCTGGGGGGCTGGGGATTTAGCTCAGCAGCACAACACCTGCCTGGCAAGCATGAGGTTGTGAGTTCAATTTCCAGTACCGGAAAAAAAGCCAAAAGAAAGAAAAAAAAAAAAACCAAAAAAAAGAATTACCAGACCTGATAAAAACTCTGGTGGATTTTTAAAATTTTGATTACAGCCAAAGACACATTGCTATTAACCCCCCCTCAGAATACATTCACTGTAATTTTTGTACTTTCTTTAATCATACCTCGCAAAGACACAAAAGAATACTTCCAGAACTGCTTCAGAAAGTGGAAAAACATGGGCCAGGGACAGAGCTCTGTGGCACAAGCACCTGCCTGGCAAGCACAAGGTCCTGAGTTTGGTTCCTGGTGCCAAAAAAACAAAAAAGAGAAAGGACATTGCTTCAGAAGGTGGCAGAACAGTGGGGTATGGGTTCCCAACAAAGAAGACTATTTTGAGGGGGATTAATCATAATGTCTTTTACTGTAATAATTCTTTTAAAATTTAAATATTCACCTCATTTGATCATACCTCATAAGTATTTTTTATGAAAAAGTAAAAAATTTCATAACCAAATAATAAAAGAATAACAATGATTATTATACTATGTGTCATTATCCTCAAAGTACTTACTCAGTACAAAATACAAACCAAAACTGGGTATGGTGGCACATGCCTGTAATCCCAGCACTCGGAAGGCTGAGGCAGGAGGATCACTGAGAGTTCAAGGCCAGCCTGGGCTACATAGTGAGACCCTGTCTCAAAACAACAACACCAAAAAGACATAAACCAAAAATATTCTTACAAAAAAGAACCAAACAGATAATAGTACAAACTTTTTTTTCAGTGAACTAAGATAAACCATAAGAATAAATTAGACAAATTAGCATATTTATTAAAATATTATAGAAACAACAGAATATGTAATTTGGGAAGGTATTTGAACTTCTCCTTACAAGAACTCAAAAAAATTAGACCTCCAGAATAAAAGATCCAATCAAAAAAATCTGCAACCAAAATGAATAGATACTTCTCAGAAGAAGTACAAATGGCCAATAAATACATGAAAAAATGCTCATTATTGCTGGCCATCAGATAAATGCATTTTAAAACAACACTGAGAATGAATGGCCATCATCTTACCCCAGAAAGAATGGCTATCATCTAAAAGAATAGCCACTGATAATTTCCTACCACTTTGTCTGTAGTTCAGTAAGCCCTCCCTGAATTACTATGTTATCTTCTTTTACTCTTTAAAATAAAAAAAATTCTTTTAAAATTTAAAAAAAAAAAGAATGGCTGTCATCAAAAAAATCAAATAGCAACAAATACTCGGGGGAAAGGACTTCTGCATTGCTGGTGAGAATGTAAACTAGTACAACCGCTGTGGAAGTCAGCGTGGAGGTTCCTCAAAAAGTGAAACTGGAAATTCCATGTGACACCTCATATCTCTTAGTCTCTTAGCCGAATATACAAGGGGAGAGCGTGACTTCCGTGGCAGACAGACTGCTTACAAAAATAACGCCCAGGGGCTGCGGGGTAGGCATTCTTCTCCTCCCAAACGGAAAACAGGCTCAGAGAGCACTTTATGGAAAAAACAGCTAAGGCCCAAGCTCTTTGTTGTTCTGCTTCACCGCTGGGTCATGAAGTGTGGCTTCCGGAGGGTTTGCAAGCTCCGTGATCCTGTACCCGTTGCCCACTGGCCACACAGTGAGGCTGGCAGCTTTCTCCTCAGCTTACACACTAGGAAACAACTTCAGAGGTTAGATCATGTCACAAGGTCTTGAGTTAGCAAATGGCAGAACCGAGACTAAACTTTGGTTTTCCAGCCATGAGTATCACCGTTTCTCTGCCTTCTGCTTTGGGGCCCATTTGTTCTCCCAACCACACCATGTCGGCTGCACGCTTTTCCGAGAGAATGTATAACTGATGTGGATCTCCCAGAGGAAGAGTGAGTGTCCACTGCACCTGCTAGGTAAAAGCATTCTCCATGGCAGGTGTCGGTTCCCCCGTGGAACCGTAGACCCAGACACAGATCTAAACAGTGTAGGGGTGGGGCTCAGCACAGGTGGAATTGAAGTGTGGAGAGGAAGCACAGGTTCTCTCAGGTATGACTCTTAACTTCTGAGGGGAGCCTCACATACGATCCCTCAGGCATCATCATTAACAACCAAGAAACGTTCAGAGCTCAAAACAGTACAAGACCTAGGAATGCGTGCAGGGCAGCTTCTGGTGAGATCTTCCCTACCCACCTACCCTGCGTTACCACTCGGTCTCATTCCGACGGCTGGTAAGACACAGCTGTTTGTTTTAGAAGCGTGCTTTTCTTCGTTAATGTCGTGGCAATGAAAGATGGAGTAAAAGGCTGACTGGCAAATGAGGAACAGTAGGGTCTAGAGGAAGACAGAGTTATTGGCACAGTGTTCAAAGCCTGGTCACAGGATTTCATCAATAAATAATGTAAGTGCTTCTCCCCACTTGTACCAGTCTGTTTTATAAAGCACGCGTTTCTATCAGCATACTGTTAAATGTGCTTTATAAAATGTATACAAAAGTTAAATGTTTAACAAATAAGAATAAGTAATAAATGAATTCCAATACTTTTTCTTCCTCAATGAGTTGTCTTACTCATTCTGCTCCTTAAAAAAAAAAAGGCAGTACTGTTAAGCAGGGTGTGGTGGCACATGCCTTTAATCCCAGCACTCTGGGAGGCTGGATAGGCGGATCGGGAGTTCAAGCCCAGCCTGGGCAACGTAGCAACTTAGACCCTGTTTCAAATTAAAAAATGGCTGAAGATGTAGCTCAGTGCAAAGCCCCTGGATTCAATCCCCAGTGCCCCCGCCACCCCACAAAAAGAAAAAAAAAGGGCCAGGGATGTAGCTCAATGGCACAGCGCCTGCCTGGCAAGAGCAAAGTCCTGAGTTCAATTCCTGGTAAAAGAAAAAAAAAAAGATTACAGTACCCTGCTGTTTTAAAGAAACAACCCCATCTATTTTCCTGGAGCATTTGAACTGTGAATTTTTCACTGAAAAGTTGACATTATAATTATATATTTGATATTAGCAGTTCTTGTGTTTTAAAAACTTTCCTTCATCTAAGTCAGTGATTCTGAAAGTGTCACATCTGACCGCCATGTCAGTATAACTTGGGAAATTGGTAAAAATGCAAATGCCCATCTCAGAGATACAAAAATCAAGAATTCTATGGGATAGGACCCAGAAATCTATCTTAAACTCACCTGTGTTTTCAAGCTGAGGAGTCTAATGCACAGCAAAGCTAAGAACCCCCACGTAGGTCATCCGATCGAGTCACCACACGCGTTCTTCCAGTGTGTTTTTAAAGTGTGCAGAATGCTGCAGCTCTAATGATGACACTTGCTGATGTTCCATCTGATTTCAGGACTTGCTTCAGATGCAGTATGAGGGAGTGGCGGTGATGAAAATGTTCGACAAGGTGAAAGTGAATGTGAACCTCCTTATCTACCTGCTCAACAAGAAATTCTACGGGAAATGATGGGCCTGCGGCGGGGGCGTGGACCCCCACGCCTGGATTGAGAAATGAATTTGTTAGTATTTTTGTTTTGAAACGTGATTGAAATCACTGCTTATAAACATGTGATTTAAAGACCAAAACTGTTCCGAAGAATGTACCCACGTGCCTTTCTGTACTCTGCTTCTCCAGGGGAATGAGACGCAGAATGAGTCAGTGCAGACGCGTTCACACCGTCTGGGATGTAGGTACCCTGATTTGAAACTCTGGACACCCTGTGATTGGTTTTAAAGTGGGGGAAAGTTTAGATGATTTAGGGACAAATGTGTGAACCTATTTTCCTATGAAAAATTTTAAATGTCCCACTTGAATAATATAATTCTTCATAGATACTTTTTATCTGTGGAGAAATAGAAACCTAATTAATTTGCAACGAATTGTTTAGACATACGTAGAGTGCTAAGCCCTGTCTCTGGGAATTACCCATTTTAAAGCAACCTTTTGTGCAATTCAAAATGAAGTTTTTATAAGTAATGGAAAGTGACAATACAATAATACTTTCTGTATAAAAGTATATATTTTATGTGATTTATTCCTACTAAGTGAAAGTGCACTACTGCTTCATGTTAGGGCTCTCATACAGAGTCTAAAAATGATTAAGGAATAACATAGATAGCAATCATAGCCCCCACCCGCTCTTCACAATTTATTTGAATACTTCAATTGTGCCTCTCGATTTTTGTAATGCTACAAAATCAGTATCTAGATGGTTTTAAAATGTATTCTTTGAAAATTGTTTTATGTAAAATAAATGTTACTTGATTACATTAATGTGGCTTCTAAGTTGTCTCAATCAATTCTAAGTCATTTAGTGAGTAGAATATTTTTAGGGTAGGGGGCCTTTTCAGAAAAAGAAATAATGGGCTGGGCATGGTAGCCCATGCCTATAATCCGAGTACTCGGGAGGCGAAGGCAGGAGGATCGCTGTGAGCTCAAGGCCAGCCTGGGCTACAAAGTGAGTTCAAGGCCAGCCTGAACTATATAAGGAAACCCTGTCTCAAAAAGATAAGAAAAAAGAAAGAAAGAAAAAGAAAAGAAATAATGCATCAGAAGCTGTGCAGTTAGGCAGGGCAATCTGCAATGAAGAAGAGATGAACAACCCTGCAACTAAAATACAACAAGAGTTTCTTTTTTTTCTCAAGTTACACAACTTGGAGGCGAATGAGTCCACACGGTGACCCTGGGATCCAGGCTGGCTGGTTGGCTCTGTACTTGCACTTATTCCCACCCCCAGGAAGGAAGAAATGACACAGGTCATATCTGCTTATATTCTATTGGCCAAAACATTGTCACACGGTTCCAGACAGCTAAATACAGTCCCTGCCTTAGATCTGAGGTGGGGGATTTTATAGGGGAGAGCTGGGTGCTGAGCTCCTTGTTCCAGCGGTCTGTGACCATGGTGCCTGCATCCACCTGGCTTCCGGTAAGAGCCTCGTGGCAGAGGGTCCCATGTGCGGAAGAGGCAACACCAGAGGTAACATTTTGTAACGACCCACTCTGTGGTGACTGATCCTCCCCTGAAGACTCAGCTCACTCCAGGACAAGATCCGCTCTTGAGACTTAACTCAGTTTGCACAGGACAATATTCCACTTCTGAAGGCGCAGCCCATGAGCCCATTCTCTCTCAGGGTCACACCCCCCCCTTGACGGCTTTACTATGGGAACCACTGTTCAGAGTGACTTCTGCTGGTCCAGGCCACAGCCGAACAGCAGCGGCTCCTAAGCAGGACCAGGGATGGAGAGGAAGGTGCCTCTATTGATGAAAAGAGAGAAGGGAAAGTGGCCCGGGGACAGTGTGGCCATCCCCACCACAGAATAAGTCTAAGCATCACAAAATAAGCCCAGCTGCGGCACAAATGAACTTAACGGTAAGACCAGTGGAACGTTGGGAAAATACAAAACTTTTTTGAAAAGTAGAACCTGCTACTTTAGTAATTATTTCACATTATGTATGGCTTTGACAGGTAACGGCCTCAAGACAAGGCTATCTCAGCAGTTTATGGTGTGGGAGTGGGCTTTATACATCTGACTCCTGTGAAAGGAATCAAATACACAGCGAAGCTTTACCATGAGAATGAGCTCCCTCTCCTCTGCTGCGGCTACTCATACTGCACTGTGGACAGCTGGAGCCATGGCAAAGGGAGGCGTGCTGACTTCCTCCTCCTCACTCCAGGAAAGACTTACAGCAGAAATGCACAGAATGAGCCAAAGCTGGGCAGCAGTGTTGAGAAGCAAAAGCCAGCGTTTCCCAGCATCCTTGATAAGAGCCTGTTCTCGCTTAGCCCAGCACCGAGTGGTTGGCTCGAGGCTCCGCATGGGGATGTGTGCCCCTGGCCAGCACCCGCTAGGAAAGCCGCAAATGCTGCTCTCTGCTGGGCCACACATCAAGGATGCCGTTGAACATACCAGCTGCTCCTTGTCTGAGATCTTTAAGGGACACAGATGAGTAGTGAAAAATAGAAGCAAGAACGAGAAACCAATGGCATACTGACTCACAGACCCAAGTTGGCTGAGACTGTTGGAGCCAAAGCCTGGGCCACTCTCGGGAGGACGACCCTTGCCCGAGCCAGGGGTTGTTCCTGGCAACTGTGATCCACAGAGCGCTCCTGGCCAGCCCCTTCCTGGCGAGCATAGCTTTCCTTACTCAGTGAAAACCTTTTTCTGTTAGACACTGACTGTCTTGTGTGCGCTGATGTGGATGTGTGGTTGGCCGCTCATTAGAGGTGCGACTGGTGATGTGATTATGACTCTGTGATTAAGTATTTGTGGTACTCCTCAGACATCCTATCCCAACAGGCAAACCACAGAACTCTGAATGGTGAAAACTCTGGTGAGACTCTGTGAGCTTTGCGGAAACACTTTTGCCTCTGTTACTGAAACCAGGACTTTGTAACAGGTTCAAATGGAGGACAGGTGCTGTGTTTCAGTCTCTAAGTTCAGAGCCTGTGGGGCCTCATAAGTAGCAGGCACAGACATGGGTTCTGGCGGTGGGTGAAGAGGAGCCCAGCCCCACCATCCTCTGCCCCGCACGAATCAGTACTACTCGTAGGCTGGCACTTGTAGGAACAGGGCTTGTTATGGTTATAACATGAAGTGAGCCCCAAAGCAGTAATGTTCAGAAGTGGGGTCTGGAGAAGTCATTGGACTGTGGAGGCACTGACCTTATAAATGAATGATCTACTGAGGAGTCCATAGCTGAGTGGGCTAGTGGGTAATGGGACCTGGTTGAAGATAGTGAGTCAGGGGTATACCCTTAGGGACTATATGGTGTGCCCTGCCCCTTCTCTCCCCCTCCCTCTCTCTCTCTCTCTCTCTCTCTCTCTCTCTCCCCTTCCCTCTCTCTCTCTCTCCCTCTCTCTCTTTCTCTCACCCTGCTTCCTGGCCACCATGAGGTAAACCACCTCCCCCTCCATATGCCCCAGCTGCCATGAAGCTTCTGCCTCTACTCGGGCCTACAGAAATAGAGCCAGTAAACCATGGACTGCAACCTCTAGAACCGTGAGCCAAAGTCAATCTTTCCTCATTTTAGGTGATTTTCTCAGATATTTGGTCACAGTGATGGAAAGCTGACTAACCTAGGTCTTTTAATATTTAGGTCAAATAGTGAAAATCCTTTCAATTTCCAAACAAAATAGCTCATACAGATTTACTACACTGCCTCACTGCTGAACTCCCTAGAACATAAAACCACCAAGTTGAAATACATTAGAAGGGAAATCAACAAGGAGAATGGAAAGATATAGAATTTATTTTAACTAGAATGAAAGAGAGTTTTTTTTGTCTGTTTTGTTTTGTTTTTAACAGACTGAATTTCACCTTCGCTTAGCAACCTAACCCATCAGGCTGGTGTCCCATCCTCTCCGGGGTAACTGTTGATCCATCAGAGAGCTAACTACTTCTAAACCCAAAGTACAAATACAGGTTTATAACCAAAAAAAGGCAGAAACAGGACTTCTGCTCCGTGCTAGATTACAGCCTATTGTTTTCTTGGAAAACAAATGTGGAGCTCTCTACACAGAACCTGGAATACCTCACACCTACTTATAATACAAGGGAGTAAATGACTAGGCACACTATTAGAATATATACAGTACTGTTGTCTTTGGACAGCTTGGAGTAGGGGTGAGGTGACCAGAATCTGGTAGATCACCTAATGGTTTAAAAGGAGGATTTCATATTATCTTGGAATTAAAACTTTTAGCATCATAATGCCCCGTTGGTCCTAAAACACTACCGAATACCACAAACATGGGAGGATGGTATGGTACCAGCTCATACGATTTGGTGCCAGGCAAGTTAAAACAGACAAGGTAAAAAACAAGAGCTAATACCACGTAGCTCCAATGTGAATGCTCCTTCAAAGCTGAGATTTCTCGTCTGAGGAACATGTTTATCAGCTCTGGTTAAGGGAACTTCCAGCATGGTTATCATCTCTGGGTAGGGAGATTCTCTACTCCAGGCAACCTCCGCACACTTGCTCTAAAACTGACAGAGGGGCATGGCGTGGGCAGCATGAAACCAAATTGATAAAGGGACTGGTATGTTTTCCCAGCAGTGTGCAAACAGTATAGGAACTGTGTAAAACCTGAGGACAAAACCGAGAACAGGGAACTTCACCAACAGACCATAACAAAAATTAGAAATCGATCTAACGTTGCAGTCAAAATTCCCAGTAATTTATTGAATTGACTGAATACTTAATGAAATTAATGAAATCTTTAGACATGAACTGCACAGATGTATGTACCAAAACTTGCAAAAACTAGCTGAAGTGGTGCGTTAAGGAGAGGGGGTGAAGATTAACAAATGGCTCAATTAGATGAAAAAACCAAAGTAAAAAAGAATTTTTTAAAACTGTCTGAAAACTAATGATGTTGCAAATAATACAACAAAAAGGTGAGCATTGAAAAATCGTTACTTCCAACCTCTAATCTGATTACTCAAGAAAAAAATAAGCTATGTTAGGAATAAAAATCAGAACAAAACTACAGATAAAATAGTTTTGGGCTGGTGATATAGCTCAGTGGCACAAGCGCCTGCCTGGCAAGCACAAGGTCCCGAGTTCAATTTCCCATACCCCCTCCTCAAAAGTATTTCTAACTGGGCATGATGGCACATGCCTGTAATTCCAGCCACTGAGGGGCTAAGGCACAAATTCAGACCAGACTGGGCACTGTAGTCAGGAAGATCCTACCTCAAAATTTAAAACAGAAAGGACTAGCTTGGTACTCCATAAGTTCAGCCAGCAGTACTGCCAAAACACACCACTCTAGAAGAGTAAAATGTAATATACACATAGAACAGACAGGAAACAAGCCTAGAAAAATGCAAGTTGCAGAATTCCTAAGCGGTATTATACACAGTTAAAGCACATAGAGCAATCGTATTTTTGGAAACACAAATGTACTAAAAGTACAAATATGGATGAGAAAGTTACTCTTCTGGTCAGGGGTGAGAATGAAATCGGAAAAGGGTACACAGAGGCTTTACATGGTAACACGTGTGTAGTACAGGCATGCATTGACCCCAGCTGGGAGGCCCCTGAGTGTTTCATTAGGCGCTTGCTTGTCTATAAATAGTGTGGCAAAGCGGGTGATGAGCTACAGTCACCCCTCCATTTCCAAGGGTTCTGTGTTCTCCAGTCAACAGAGGGTGGAAACAATTCAGGAAAAAAAATTACCTTCTTGTCATTATTCCTTAAAAAATACAGTATAGGACCTTTTATACAGTATTTACATTGCATGAGGGTTAAGTACTTGAGAGACGATTTAAAGTACACTGAAGGAGCCAGGCGTGGTGATGCACTCCTGTAGTTTCTATACTCAGGAAGCTGAGGCAAGAGGATCTCTGTGAGTTCAAGCTCAACTTAAACTTCATAGTCTCAAAAAAAAAAAGAAAAAAAAAAAAAAAAGGGGCTGAGATATAGCTCAGCGGCACAGCACTTGCCTGGCAAGAGCGAGGTCGTGAGTTCGATTTCCGGAACCAGGAAAAAAAGGCATACTGAAGGATGTGTGCCAGTTGTGTGTAAATACTGTACAATTTTATATAAAGAGTATGAGCATCGTCTGATTTGGGTGTGCTTGGAGGTCCTGGGCCTAATTCCCTTCGACTACTGAGGGCCGACTGTATGTGGAGTCTTGTTCAGTTCTCTGACAGCAGTGTTTTCCAAAATGTGTTCCTGTCACCCCACAGCAGCATCAGGGCATCCGGGAACTTGCAGAAACGCAACTCCGAGGCCACGCCCCAGGTCCTCAGAGCCAGAGTCCGGAGACCCGGGCCAGCGCGTGGTGAGTACACCGTCCTGGGGACTCTGGTTCGCGCTACGTTGAGCAGCACTGTCTTCGGACACTGTTCCCCAACACTTCGGACTAGGGAGCCTCCTCTCTCCGCGTCACAGGGATGTTCGTCAGATTCATAGAGCCTAACACATAGGTCTGGAATGGCTCTGCCGGGAATCCGCACTTGTACGTGCTACACGTTAAAACCGCTATGGCCCCCTCAATCGTCAGGCCAACTGTCCCTCTCGCCCTAGCATCCCAACAGCCCCATGATGGGTTCGTGACCCGTGTTCTACTTCGTGACCCCCACGAACAAACCCAGGGACGCAAAGGAGGCGCCAAGGGTAAAATGCGGGGGACAGGACAGCTCCAACACTGCAGGGGACACGCAAGGGACACAGAGTGTACCTAGAGAGGGTTGGACCGCCCGGATTCGGGTACCCAAGCTCCCTGAGGCTCCAGGAGAGGCACAACTGTACTTTTCACTGTCAGAAATTTTTGTTAATATTTCCATACACTGTCATGTTTCACACTGCCTTTCACTGATCCTAAGATGTCCTCCATGATTAAACAACGCCGAAACTGGAGTGTTTTTGGCAATCACCGGTATGTCCCAGTTTTATTAGAAGCATTTTTTTCTTGCACAAGTTAAAAGGAGGGATCTTTCTGCAGTACTTGGGAGTCAAAGCCAGGGCCTCAGGAATGCCTGGCAAGCACCAGACACAGCTACAAGCCCAGCCCGTTGGGTTCCATTTTGAGACAGGGTCTTGCTAAGTAGCCCAAGCTGACTTCGAACTTGCAATCCTCCTGCCTCAGCCTCCCAAATAGCTAGGATCATAGGCATGCACCACGACTCCTGGCTAAAAATGATGAATCAATAACATTTTAGTAGTAAAAAATAAGTTAATAGTGTGTGCAGAAATAATTTTAATGGTTCACACGTACTCTTAGGTACCTTTTCCTAGAATTGAACTGGGAAAGATCTTAAAATGCATTACGTAGCTGAGTAATCGCATAAGAATATTCCTGCGCCACCTTTGTGCCCAGCCAGGCACTTAGCTGTGACAGTGATGGGGGACGCAGGGCAGGAGGTGCTTTCTCTCTTGGTAAAGGGCTGCTTCCTCCGCTGGTAGAAGAGCCGGGACTCTGGCCTCAGAAGCCTGCCACCAACGCCCTGGCCGGAGGGACCCATTTCTGCTGGGGTCCAAGAGCCCCGGGCTCCCGGCAAAGTAGGTGCGGACCCTCCACCAGGCCTCGGCCGCGAAGCCCCCGACGGGCGCTCACAGAGGGTTCAGGGTTCAGGGGCCCCGGGCGCCGCGCTGGGGCCTCCCCGGAGCGGGCGCAGGGACAGCTGGGGCGCGGGCGAGGCGCGGGGTCCCTCCCGTGAATCCCCGCGGCGAACCGAGGACCCGGGAGACAGCGCTAAGAACCCTGCAAACGTTTGCGGACAGCCTGTCCCCGCGGCGTCCGCTTTAAAGCTGTTCCTTCACCGCAGCAGCCGCAGGCGACGGCGCGCGCCCCGCGGACCGGCCGCCCGACGGGACGGGGCGGGG